GCACATCAAAAGACACAGAAAAGACAGATAATACACAGCTTTTATAAACTCCCATAAAAAATGTATTTGCTTCCCTCAAGTGAAATTTAAAATAGGGATCTCTTCTGACAGCTTTGGAACAGGCAGAGAACGGCCACTTTCCCTGTCTGCGCTTCTTACCTACCTCTGTCAAGTCTTAGAGAGAAATGGGAAAAAGCTTCACCTCAAATTGCCCTGGAGGATCAGCTCCAGGGAAAGAGAGTAATTTGTATTTCAGTCCAAATCAATCCTTATGCTTTCCACTAAGAATACTAATTGTGATAACTTTCCTGAGCTGGAACTTCCCTACCAGAAAGAGGAATGATGCCACAAATTCATTGCCAAAAGCACATGCAGAGATTTGGCATCAGATTTCAAAGGCTTTTACTGTCAGCCTGCTCCAGAATCACACCAGCCTTGTATGCATGACATGGTCCAGATGAGGACACCACAAACTTTATCCTTCTGTTCTTTGTGAGGTGTGTGGGAAAGGCAGAGGGGCTCATGTTTACTAGCACTGAATGCAGGGCTGTGTACCATCCATTGGCCTCAGCAACTTCTTGCTCTGTGCTGGACTGCATAGGATGGTAAATCAGCCTCTGCAAACCCTCAGCTAGACCATGCCTCAATTCTAAATCCTTACTTGGCATAAGTAGCTTGATTCAATCTGCTGGCATAGAATGTGACCTCCTAAAACACATAAAGCTTCCAATGTAACTTCCAAGAGCAAAATGCACACAACTCAAGCAAAGTTCTTTCATAAGCCTGGAAGAAGGCTTCTAGTCCTACCTGACAGAATCCATTTTTCATCTTGTGCAAGTTGGTCTGGGCCTTAAACAATTTATTTAATCTCTTCATTACCAGCTTTCAGCATTAAAATAAAAAAACCCACAATGTCACATGACTAACAGCTGTAAAATATTTTAAAATACAGTAACAGTACAGATTTTGTCTACATTTATATTTCTATTAAGGCCTAGAATAAATCTAAGTAGGGAAACTGGAACTATATTGTTCCATGTGTGCTTTGAACAAAACCAAAAGGATTGCACATCAGCAGGAATTAGCCATAGTCATTGTTTTTCAATTGTCATTTACCTCATGTCTCCTGACTCTGAGTAATACTGACAAAAGTATATAAAAGACAAAATAAACACAGCGTGCAGGTAAACACTTCAGACACGCATGCCAAAACCTAGACTTCTGAACCCTGCAGAAAAGTGGCAAAAACTGAGCAGAGTATTAAAACAGTAGAGAAGCACATCTCCACACATCCTTACAGGCAGAGTAGCTGCATCAGTTGCTCTAATTCCCTTCTCAATTCCTTTTCAGTACACTCAAAAGTAGTAGTTACAAGTGGCCATACTGTGATACTATATATGGCTGAAATGACTACTTAATGTACTTGTCACAGAAGATCTTTATTAGGTAAACTTCCCTTTAAATTAAATTTGTGGAGACATTCCACTGCTGGAAGCTCAGTCTTTACCTACACAAATGTGCAGCAAAATATCATAAAACATTTTCCCTGGACTGTGTGTATATATGTGTTATCACTAGCAACAGATGCTTTGTTGGAATTCTGCACCATATCCATTAAATGGCACAAATAAAAACCAATTGGCCACAAGAGGCTGAACTAAGAAAACTCTAAGTATTTTTCTGGGATCACTTCAAACAACACAAAGCATGCTTGAATTACGTTAAAATGCTGTGATCACCACATCACTTGCTGTGGAAAATCAGCCATCCCCTGTTCTCTAGTTCTGAAAGTAAAAGCTGGTATGACAGAAGATTCAGGCCAATAAGGGCTTTTGATGCCTGAGGTATTTCTGGATCTATAAACCTGGGTGAGACATGTAGTTCTCTAAACAGCATATGCAAAAAAAACCAAAACAAAACAACAAAACAAACAAACAAACAAATAAAAAAGAGATTAGAACAGATGGAATCAAGAGACACTTAAAAGAACTACACACTATGCAAACTTATAGAAAACACAGACAAGAGGTTAAAATGTGTCCATCTTCAGTAAGACGATTCTAATTGTATTCCACAAGGGTCTGGAAACCTCTCCTGAAGATAGCTGTCCAAGCTTTCCTCTCAAGGAGCTTCTCCCACTGTGTGAGAAGGAGATGGGCCTGCCCAGGTGAGTTACAAAGGAAGAGAGAGTGTTGTCCAGCTGTCAGATGAATGCACTTCTGTAAACAATCCTTGACAGAGCAAGGAGCAGCAGCTGTGCATGGGATGGATTTCATGCCATGCTACACACCTGCATTGCTCCTGGTGGTGTCAATGTCAATGTGTAATGCCTCTGAGGTTAGAACAACACTTGGAAAGTGTTGAACCTTTGCTCTAACTGCCTTCTCTACCTCAGCAGGGTCAAATCCTGATTATAGGACAGTGTCCATCTTTCCAGGCTCCAAGTGAACTGGGGAGAGTCATGATCCACTAGTGTTCAGTATCTGCCACTCATTGCCACAGTTTACAGAGAAGGAAATCCAGCCTTTTACTTATTCCTCTCAGGGTGATGAATATACTTTACATACATGAGTATTATATTTAATGATCTCTGAACAAAAAATATACAATTTTGGGAGCAACACAGAACCCTAAGGCTATACTTCTTTATAACTGTAACTTAGAACTAAATTAATTATACTTCCTCAAGGACAAGGAAAATGCTTTACTTTTAGACACCAGTAATAATTAAGCCTAACACAGGGACTAAGCTACTGGTTCATCCTGACTGGACTGGTGCCAGTTCTTGAATAATACCAACTCTAGACATCCACAGAACTTTAAAGTGAAAAAACGAGGTAACATTAAATTATAATGGGGTATAGCAGCAGCTGAATATTTTTCAGGATTACAGTTTTGAATTTCAACAACTACATTTCAGCTAAACTACTCTCAATTTGACAAACTCTTTAATGGCCAAAGCTGCAAAGCATAAGCAACTAATTTTGAGCAAGTGTGGCAACACAAATAATTTAAACTACTGATCTTTAATTAGAATTGACATTACAAAGAATTATTTCAACTTTGCATGTGGATGCACTAAAAAAGGGTTAGGAAGCATGAAATGTCACATGAAAGTCCTTGAAACACAAACTAGGCTATCTATTTTAATTGAAATGGTTACTTTTTAAATGCTGCTACTTATTTTATTGGTTAACACAGCAGCCCCAGGATCCATTTCAGGAATTTTAAAGGATTCAAGCACTATCAGTTTCTCAATAAATATATATTTACTGCATCATGTCTTCTTAAATGCAAATCAATTAAGTGTACACTGAGTTTTTTAAATGCAGTGGTATAGTACTGGCCTAGAATTCAACTAAGAGTAGCACAGCTCCACCCTTTGTCCAATCCCACAGTAATAAACTAAACAGACGAAAGAAACAGTGTCAACTTTATGGCTACACAGGTCACACACCTTTCTTAACACTTTAAAATACTGCAGTATCATTTGACAGGTAATTCTGTGTTACTGTGTACTAATGTGCTGCTGAAACTGATACTCTCTGAATTAATAACAGATTGGGTATTACGGGGTTGGTTTTTTGATTGGATTTGTTTCCTAACAGCTCGTTCTTAGGACAAGAGAACCACCAGTTGTTTCCTCAGTTCTCTATTACAGAATAATGTTGGACATAAGGTTTTAGGAATACAGGAGAGCCAGCAGAACTCCAGGCTACCACCCTAGCAGCAAGCCTCAGTGTTCAGTTCCAGTAAATAAATAAAACAGACAACCTGAGCACTGCCGGCAGGACTGTGGCCAGCTGTCTGAGAGCTTCTTTGACAGAGCCTCTGAACAACTGCCAAGAAGCTGCAGTCTAAACGGAGCTGGTGTCTTTCAAAGATAATAATAAAAAAACCAAAAAACAAAACAAAACAAGCCCCCCAAAAAGCAGCTAAATAAACGTGAGGTTTGAACGCTGAAATATAAGAGCCCAGACATCCCACTGATGGTCCTTTTTACAACCACGTCCTTACAAGCGATCTCCTCAAGCCCTTCATCCTCATCTTCACTTCATCTTCACTTTACTAAATTAAATAAAGCAAAAAACTTGAAATCTAGTTCTGAGATTCTGTTTTTCAGAGTCGCAGGCAACAAGGAAAGGTTGGCAGAGGTCGCACGAGGGTCCGGACGCACTCAGCGGGAGCCACAGAAACGCCGGTGCCGCTGGACCCGCTGCTGGACTCGGGTCCCTGCGGCGCCGGGACGGGGCCGCTCCGCCACAGAGCACCCAGCAAAGCCGAACCACGGGACATCCCCGGGCCGGCAGCAACGACACGGCTCAGGCTTGCGGCGGGGAAAGGAGCTCGGGGTCCGCGTATCCCCACCCACGGACATTACCTCGATGTACGGGACGATTTTGCAGGAAAAGTCTTCCAGAAGCCACTTCTTGGTGAGCTCCTGGAAGATAACCAGCGGCAGGCAGAAGAAGACGATGAGGAAGTCCCAGAAGGCCAGGTTGGCCAGCAGAGAGTTGGAGATGCTCCGCATGTAGTAGTTGTGGCAGACGATGCACATCACTGCCATGTTGCCCATGATGCCGATGCCGAAGATCACCACGGAGAGGCACATGACGGCGTAGGCACCGTACGACTCCTCGGTCAGCGGGTAGAAGGGGTTGCGGAGCCGGGCGCGGCGCCCCGTGGCGTTCCCGCGGCCCCCGCNGGGTGAGGAGCCGAACCGGGCGCGGGTGAGGAGCCGAACCGAGCCGGGCCGGGCCCAGCACTGCGCTCCCCGCCAGCCCCCGAGCTCTCCTTGCAGGGCTGTGGCGCTTGCTGGCGTATCCCCGCTGCCCGCAGCCCACCGGCGCGCCCCGGTCTCAGCGTCTGGCTGCCCTGCCGGGGCCGCGGGTGCCAGCGGGAGCGAGGGAAGCCACAGGAGAGCAAAGCGCCCTGCCCTGGCCCCAGGAGTGTCGCCCCGGCGCGAACGGCGGGCGGTGGGAGCGGAGGGTGGCTGGCAGGCGGTGCGGGAAGCTGTGGGCGGCAGAGGGGCCGTGAGGGCGCCTTGTTGCGGGGGCAGAGGCCCCGGACGGGGAGAAAAGGGGAGCGTGTTCCCCTGGCAGAGCGCAAAGCGAAGCAGCAGGCTGAGCGAAGGAGGTGGTGTTCATACATCATCAGAATAGCATCAGAAGCGTCTCCACAGGTTTCTTTCCTGCTGTGGGCATTTGTGTATGTTTTTTTTTTCTTGCATTTGTACTGTCGGATAAACTTCATAGTTCTTTCTTCTTGTTTCTCTGATTTTTATTTCGTTCAGGTGACAGCTTGCCGAATTTTGATGCAGTAAGTCTGTAAGTGCGCTTAAGGATTCTCCATCGCCCGTGCCAGTTGCCATTTTGTGGCGCTTTTGTGTAAAGTATGCCCAACTAGTTTAAAAGTTTAATGTTTTTCCCACGAAGCAGTTTGAGGTATTGTGCTATTTTTCCTTTGAAGAATGTCCGTGACAGTTACCCAGAAAACACAAACAGGGTAAACAGAGAGTTCTTCCTTTCATCAAACCGTTCTCATTTAGGTGAGGTGTAACTGTGGAAACTGTAGTGTTTCTAAGCTTATGGGAGTGTGCAGTAATTTAGGCACTGCTGTGTTCCCGATCCCTAAATACAAGTCAAGCCGTTTTCTTCTTCTTCCTCAGCAATGTAAATATAATCTCATGAAAAAAAGTGACCAAGGTAATTTTAAGAATTCCTAATAAATAATAAATCTAGTCTAATAAAGTATCTATGAATGTTAAAAAGTAACTGGGAAGTGCTAAAATCTACCAGGAAAAGAAGAGAATGGCAAATGTATTTAACCTTTTTTCCCCTTACATTTTATTTCCATTTGTTCCTTCTGAGCTCAGCTGGTGTATAAAAGGAGTTAATGATGATAATGAGCTTACATTTACAGTGCCTCTTTCCTGAAGAGTCCCAAAGGGCATTACAAGTAGATATGATAAATTCACTGCTTGTTCTTAAAGGGTACTGGGGATTATTGCTGCTGGCTTTTATGTGAAAGAAGCAGACAGGAGCCAGCAAACATACTGCCCTTCTACATACTTCTGCAAAAATATGGATCATCAAGAAGAAGGTTAAGCAATGTTTGGTTGACATCACTGATCCTGTAACGGTGAGATAAGAACTGAGGTCTGCACAGGTTTTCCAGTGTCAGCCTATCACATGCTTTGTAATGGAGAAAAAATATGTCTGAAGACAAAGAAAAGTCTTATACACTATTATCTTTTTCACATTTTTTTTGGTTCAGTATTTTGTTTGTTGCAAAGAACAGCAAGTACAGAAAATTTGGAATTTGTCAATTGTATTCAGCCAAGCTAAGAAGGTCTTTAAAACAGTTGATTTGTCATGTTTACTATTGCTGCTCTGTTAAATACTGAAAGTTATTGTCTGAAAATTACATTTTTCAAATATCTTTGGTCCAAAATATTTATTTGAAATTTTGCTGCAGTCCATGTAATTTCTGAGGTTTTGTTTGTTTGAGTTTTTTTAGGGAAGGAGTTCATTGTGGGGTATTTTGAGGCTGATGATGCATTTGTCCCATGTTTTTCAAATAATTCTGTTACTTCTTACGATATTTCTTTAGGATAAAGCTCCTACTCCATTACTTTCTGATACAGCCTACAGTTCACTCAGGCTTTCACAACTCTGCTGAAGAAGTTGTACATGTTTTGACAGTCTTTCTACCAATTCATGCATCAGCCTAGAAACAATCTTGAAAAGCACAAGCAGACTTTTATATTTATAACATGCTTAAAGAAAAAAAAAAGAAACCAACCCAAAACATTTTTCTCTGTTATATGGGGGAACTGAAATTCATAGATGTTTTTGCAGCCAAAATCTATAAAAGGAACACCAATAAGCATGTTCCTACATGAAAAAAAAAAAAAATAAAAATTGAAAGGTTTCCAAATACATTTATTCTGTTCTGTTGGTGTTCTACGATATTTCATCTATGATAAAAAAATCAATAGGCTTTCAATTCCTGCACTGCTGGATTTTCTGACATCTCCAGTATTCATTACCTGAATAAGTAATACTGAACATGTTATTCTGTTTCAGTGAGAAGGGATTATTGTTGTTCTTTTTGCCTCTCCTCAGGGTTCGTAGAAGCACAGAATGGTTTGTGTGGGAAGGGGCCTTCAAGATCATCTGGTTCCAGCCCTCCTGCCGTGTACCTTCCATAGACCAGGATGCTCAGAGCCCCATGCAACCTGGCCTTGAACACTTCCAGGGACAGGGCATCCACAACTTCTCTGGGGAACTTGTTCCTCACCACCCTCTCAGTAAAGAATTTCTTCCTGAGATCAAATCTAAAACTACTCTTTTTGAAGCCATTCTCCCTTGTCTATCACTGCATGCCCTTGTGAAATGTCTCTCTCCAGCTCTCTTTAGGTACTGCAAGGCTGCTTTAAGGTCTACCCAGAGCCTTTTCTTCTCCAGCCTGTCTTGGTAGGAGAGGGCCTGCAGCTCTCTAATTATTTTTGTGGCCCACTTCTGGACTAGTCCTAACAGGCCCATATTCTTGTTATGTTGGTGTCCCCAGAGCTGAACACAGCACTCCAGGTAGGGCCTCACCAGGGCAGAGCAGAGGGGCAGAATCCACTCCCTCAAGCTGCTGGCCACACTTTGGGTGCAGCCCAGAATACTGTTAGCAGTGCTCAGCAGTTCATCACTGAAGAAGAAAGAGTGTATTTCCCTAAACAACTTCTGTCTTTTTGGTTTTGAACTATAGTGTGCTTAGCGACTTTACACTCATTTCTTCTTTCTCCATTAGGCAGATTTAATAGGACAACTTTTTTGTTTTTGAAAGAGGTAGATTTGTTTATGCTGTCTTTTTACACCTCACTAGATTTTGTTATGTATTCTGTTATAGTAATCTGAATTTGAAGAGAACATGATTACTGTAATCTGGTATCATTGGGCTTTTTATTTCAGACAGATAAACATAGTTTAATCAACCAGAGGAATTTTTTTTGTTGAATTCAGTTTCTTATGTGGTTGGGCCAGGCTCCATAACAATAAACAAATGCTGAAAAATTTGCAATTTAAATTTAAAATAATTTTAAATTTAATGATAATATTGTAAGTTTCTTTTAATTAGTATTTTGTGCATTTATTGACATCTAGTAGGAAACCTTCTGCTAGCTCCTGAGTATAGATTGCTCTTTCTGTCTAGTTTCACATTTTAAATGATAATGCTTTTCCCTTTAACCTTTTCAACTTGCAGAAGTTTGAATTCTGTTTTAAAGAATATATGTCAGTGCTCATGTCACACAGTCCAAATGGATTTGCTTGATAAGTTATCCTTGATTTAAAAGAGAAGTTTCAGCAACTCTTCAATTACAATTAGTAATAAAAAAGCAAGTATATATGTTACATGGAAAACTGTGACGTGGTTGATACTCGCATTGCTGCTTTTCTGTCCTTTTTTTATCCAAAAAGCAGAGTGATGTATTGACTGCCAACAGTGATCATGGGATTGAGAAGTCATTAATTCTTTTTTCATGGTGAATGACTTGAAGAATAAGTTATATTTATATGATGTAGAACTGTGGGAAAGAGTAACTATTATCTATCCTTGTTAGAACATAGTTTAAGAAATGAGGGTGAAGCCAATGTGTGATGTGCAGCCACAAAAAATCAACAATTCATTCTATTTCAGTCTCTTCTTTTAGCATCATATTCTTCTGATCATCTTCACAAGTTTCTGTACAGAAAGTGCTCAGTCAGTAAAGATCTCAATACTAAAGGTGAGATGCAAAGACTTCTTTTTTTCTTCTTTGCCTGGCAATGAAATTTAGATCAGTGAAAAAAATAATGAAACCTTTCTTTCTTAAAAGCTTATCTGCGTTTTTCACTCTGTAATTGGTAAGAAGTGTCAAAAGGCAACAAGAGTCATATAGACACAGTTTAAACCTTTACAGACTTTGAAAGTGTTGGGTCATGTTCAGCCTGAGAGATTTTTCTTTAAGCATCCACTGTGGTGAAATTCTTTTGATCATTGTGTTTCAGAGAATTCTTAGATATTTGTTAATTTGATTGTTTGCCTGGAGTTTTGTTTAATTTTGCTAGCTGCTTTATACAAAATATTTTTTTCTGTATTTACTAGAGTTTGACTGTTTCAACCAATTTGGAGCCATAAACCCTAAAAAGCACAAACTGGTGTTCAAAGTTTCAAGTCAGACTGCCACTGTGATAAAGATACTCAGCACAACCACTGCTCCTGTGAGTCACTGCTTACCCTAGTTTGTTATTTAGTGCAAACCCGAAGTTACAGGGAAATTAAGATCTGAACTGTGGTAACTTCTCAGTTATGCTCTATGAACTGTGGAAGATCTTTGAGGCCATAATAAAGGTTTCACGGCTGTTGTGGAGAAACTGATGGAAGAATGGGAGCTCCACCATTTCTAGTTGCAGCCATTGTGACAAATTCCAAAGATTTTCAAAAGGTTTTGGCAGCACTGCTGTCCTTGGGATGGCCAAGATTGCCCAGCACAGCAGCACCTCCTCTCATCCAGCCTGCAGTCCAGCCAAGAGTGGGTGATCACATGTGTCTCAGAGTGGCAGAGGTAGTTGAGTGGCATCTCAGTAGCTAGTTTTAAGCAGCCTTGTGCAGCTGTAAAGAGAAATTTAAAAAATAAGAGGAAGGGGAGCTGAGAAAGACTCTGAAAGACAAAGAGGGTGAGAAGTCAAGAAGGCTAGCAGATAAAAAAAAAGTCATGAGTAAGGAAGAAGGTATTCTCTTGAGAGAATGTGAGGAAAAGAAGAACAACTTACAGAATAGAATGGAAAAGGGAGAGACTGTAGTATAGGTGCTGCTTCGTCCCTTGGAATCATGGAGCAGACATCTTTAGATTATTTGTCCATAGTCCCTGTTATTATCTCCTGGTATTATGGTCCCTGTGTCTCCCTTACATGTGCATTTCAAGATTTTTCTGTACTTTGATATGATAAAATGTATTTAATAGTTAACAAAACCTTACGTTTTTTTGTCAGGCAGGTGATTTTTCTCCTGTGCCACATTAAACTACTAAATATGTGGTTTGAACATGCATTAACTTGTGAGTCCAATGAAGTGCACTCCAAACAGACATTTGTATCATAAATAGCATATATTAATTACCCCTTCATTGCTAGGCTAAGTCTAGGCCATTGCTTTGAGTGTAGAAGATGCTTGTTTTTTTTCTGCTGTGGGCTTTCCCTTCTTCAATGCAGTAGCTTGGTACTTCACTTTTCTTTTTCTTTTTTTAATTTAGACTTTAGGTTTTTATTTCCTGCCATTTTCACATTACTCTCAGTTGTTTGTTTCATCTGTCAAGGTAACTCACATATTGTTTACCTTTTCTTTGAGCTCATTAATGAAGTTATTAAAATAAGAAACCACTTCATACCTTGCAGGAGACCCACTGCCTACTTGTCCACAACTTAGTGCAATCTGCTGCCATTTCTCATCAGCCAGTGTTTGTGATCCTTCAGCCTGTTTTCAATTTACATGACAGTGCTTACGTCCAAAGCAATTTGGATTCATTTTGGGAGATTTAGTAAGACACTGTATTGAATCCTTTATTAAAATCATGCTGTGTATCTCTCATCCAGGATTTTTGCAGTTCTATCAAAAAAGCAATCACGTTTCCTTGGCACGACGTGTTCCTTATGAACCCATGCTGCTTATTGCTCATTGTACCATTATCCTTTGAATGTTTAGAAGAGTATTTTGGAGTCATGAGTTTTGTTTCTTTTTTCTGTTTATTTTCTTTTTCCCCTCAGCAAATGTTCTTTTCTTTCTCATTACAGAATATGATTGAAATTAAACTCCTTGTTTAATAAAGCACACTTCTTCCCTTTATTGATGTTTGAGGCTATATTTCCTATTCCATATGACTTTTCACAGATAGTTTTTGAGGGCTTACTCTTTTCATTGTGCACTCAGGAATGCATTTAACATGGGCTAATTGACTGGATACAACTGATTTTCTTACTTTTGTGCTATCCATAGCAATTTTTTTCTTGTCCTGATTTTGGCCAGGATAGAGTTAATTTTCTTTCTAGAAGCTGGTGTGGTGCTGTGTTTTGGATTTAGTAGAAGAACGTTGTTTTAACACTTTGATGTTTTAATTGTTGCATATTACTGCTTACCCTGAGTCAAGGACCTTTCAGTTGGCTCCTGCTCTGGTGTTGAGGAGCTGCACAGGAAGCTGGGAGGGAGCATGGCCAGGACAGGTGACCTGAACATGTTTGGTACCATAGAACATCACCCCTGTGTAGAAACTGGGAGAAGTTTCCTGGGAGCTGCTTGAGGATGGGCTGGGCATTTGTCAGTGGATGGTGAGCAGTTGTCTTGTGTATCACTTGTTTCTCTTGGGTTTTATTCCTCTCTTGGTTTTATATCATTATTATTACTTATGTAACTATTATCATATTTTACTTTATTTTAATTAGTAAAATGCTCTTATCTCAACCCCTAGGCTGCACCTTTTTGTGATCCACTTTCCCATCCCACCAGGGAAGGAGGCTTGGGAGAGAGTGAGGAGCTGTGTTGCCAACTGTGGCTAAACCATGAAACTTGTTTTCAGTCAAACCTGCTTTCAATGAGAACAAATAAGAAATACATGTGGGAAACGTGAGTTTTGCCTACCTCTCTCCCACCAAAGTAGCCCTACATTTGAACCATGTTTGCATAGATTTTATATATTTTAACAATCCCCTTTGGTATCATTAACTTGTTCTTGGCTTTATCCTGAGAGCCATTGAACACTTTGACAGAGGTCTATTGTAACTGTAAGAATATATTTCCTTTTCATTGCCCAAGTCATCCTGCAGGAATTTGGAGATTCCCCAGTTTTGGGAATATTCATATATTCAAGTTAAGCACAAGACTATATGTTTTTCTGTTGCTCATACAACAGCTCTTCTACAGTTCATCTTTTTCCTGAAGAGTAGGCCACTGTATGTATTGTCTGCATAAGTAATCACAGCACCCTAGGGAGAAGAGTTATTTAAAACTATGATAAATGTCATACACGTTCTCCCTTTCATGACTTATTTGTTCTCTATTAAGGTCAGATCGAAGTTGTAGACAATTAATTTTTATCACACTCTTATTTGTCAAATGTCGTATTTTGGCTTAGGGTTCTCTTCTCTGTTTTGATTTGCTTTGGGGTTTTTTTCCTATTTTTTTTTCTTTTTCCTCTCTCCCCCTTCTGTATTCCATGATGAATTGATAGCTTCTGAAGGATGACAGGGAATAAGAAGATCAGCTAACTGCATCTCAGCAGCTGGTGGGTTACTTTTTGTGCATTTTTGTTATGACCTTGTGAGAAACATTTCTGCAACTTCTTGTAGATATACTGTATTAAAGAAAAAAAATCTATATTTGTTTCAAAGGCTGAAATCCTTGCCTTCTATAGCATTGTTCCAATTTGCCAGCATCTGTTAATGAGGACATAGTATAAAGTCACTGGTAATGTCAGCAGGTCATTAAGGAGAAGAAGCAGTCAGGGATGCCAGCTCTTCTGTCACTGGTCTTTTGAATCACAGATGTCCAGGACCACAGAAGGCATCTGAGGGTGTTGGTAAAAGCTGCCTGTGGTGATGTTAAATTAGGCTGTGCTTTTTCTACAGAAATAGCATCAGCACTTCTCTTTGTATAGGTGTAAACCTCAGTTTACTGCATGCATTAGTATATTCTTCTCTTAAAAACATCAGTGAATACCCTAATTTAAGAAATGACCTTTGGTACCAGAATGTGTCTGTCAAGTAAAATATCATTAGAAGGCACTTGTTATTTGTGCTCAGTAATAAATTCTGGGATACTTTTTACAAGACTGAAAATATCTTGACACTGAGAGCATGGTCATTTCCCGTAGCAGAAATGTCTTCACTTCAGTGGTAAGTAAATTACTTGTACAGTATGACACATTTTTGGCTGTGGCTGTTCTTTGCTCACCAGGCCAGCAAAGATACAGAGAGTTAAAGTAAATTTCCTTTTAGCTACTTTGACTCTAAAGCTTCTAAAAATGCTTTGAGGTTCAGGGATGCTCACAGAAATAGTGCCCTGGACTGTCATCTGCAGCCCTCTTTCCTCCTGAGAGGTGTCACAGAGCCATGCTAGATGATGTTTGGCAATCAGCAACTTTCTTAAATCAGGGAAAACTCACTTGCCTTGTTTTAGCTGCTTTTTAATATATGTAGTTCATAGCACAAGGAGACCAGAGAAAAAAGGTCAAGGATCCAGTCTGATCACTGTAAAGAGCTTTAGAAATATGTTATTGACCTCCCAAAGAACTTAATTCCGTGGAAGCCTGAACAGTAGAGAAAGCCATATGTTTTCTGGAAGAAAAATATATTACTGGCTGGAAGAGGTTATTGCAATTGTTTTAAAAAATAGTAATTCAAATTTCCAAATTAAATAATCTTGAATACCCTTTCAAATGACTGTGGTTTGAAAGAAAGCTAATGGCAATCATTTTTCTCTCTACCTTTCATTCCAGAATGAAAGTTAAGGGTTATTAAAGTCTAATTGTGAAATGAATATTATCTCTTGATAATGCCTTTTTTTTTCCCCTTAGCATCCACTGTAAAACTGTATTTCATCGGGGTGCTGGCAAAATGTTAGCTTCCTGTAGAGTGAAACACATGCATTTCATGTGGCACACATGTATCATATATGAGCCTGGCTGAACTGTGTGTTGCTGTGAGCTAAGGTTTCTGCCACATCCCCTATAAAGGTAAGGAGCAGCAGCAGTGATTTATGTGAAGAATTTTCAAAACGTGTTTAGTTAATATTTTAAATAGGAAAGGGCTGAGCTATTATGTTTGTAAAGATCCTTCTGTTTTCAGGCTGAGCCTGTCTGAAAAGCACTCATCGTTCAGTTCGAGTCACTCACTGGAACATTGCTTAAAATGAAGGGCTGCTCTTTCTAACCTCTTGCAAGGAAGGCTTTAGCCAGAGCCAGAAAACAGAGCACAGCCCAAGCTGCCAGCTTGTTAGCGTGAGATTCCCGCCTCCATAGAAGTCTTTGGATTAATGACTTCAGACAGACAGATGTGAGACTCAGAGGCCATGTGTGGGGGAAGGGGTTTCTTGTCAGAAGGCCCTGGAGTGTTCTTGGTGATGAGAGTAGCTTTATTCCCTGAAAAATACAGGGAGTTGACTGAGCAACTCTGAAGGAAGGCTGGACAAATGGAAGGAAAAAATATAAATATTGCAGGTATCTTTGTGCTGGAAAGTAATGCACAGCAGCTGCTCTGAGTCCATCCAAGTAAACACCCTCCTTTTTCTGTGTTCAGTGTAGAAATCTTAAGCTAAGTTCTCCACATCTGAATACAGTAATGTTACCAATGCGTCGTTGCTGATGGAAGTGATCCGAGTTTCCCATGAGCCATCATTGCAGGAAAAACAGATTTCTGTGGGGTAGAAGATTTTATAAGCACCAAATCTGTCATAGCAAATCCATCAAGGTTATCCCCTGCACACTAGGTTTCCTGCTATGCTATCAAAAATAAATTAAATCAAATGAAATCTAAACATCTTCATCAAGCCCTTATATTATTAATGAGGAAATACCCTATGGAGCACAACTTACAGTATGCACATTGTGCAATAAAATATTTGCATGTTCTGTGACATCTGTAGAGTACAAGAGTCTGTAGTCTTGAATGGTATTTGGAATGCAATTGTGCACAAAGAAGAGGCAAATAGAAAATTTACACATATTTTTAATAATAAAATGTATTTATTTATATTAATTTATAATTATAAAATCATTATGGAAATACAAAAATGCAAAACACTGATATCCTGAAATGCTTTCTTTACATATTGTGTATTCCAATTTAATATTAATTACATTTTTATAACCTGTATGTTGTAACTACACATATGCACATGCACTGTTTCACACAAACACATGCTCTGTCATACACTTATTAAAGTATATGTCACACTTTCTATTTTGTGTTGTATGTTAATGTTAAAACCAAGAAAGTAGAGGCATATTTTCAGTCTAAATTCATAACACTGGGAATGGGTAATGGGAACAGATGTGATGTAGAAGGAATTTTATTCTGGAGGGCTGTCATAACAGAATTAAGCTATCCAGCTGACTTCATTTCAGTGGTAGAAACTTTCAGCAGTGGGTGGTGTATGAGCACAGAGTCACACCACTTTAGAGCTCAGTGAATATCTCTTAAATATAGCTGAGGCGTAGCCTGATGAAAGATTTAGGAATAATAAGCAGCAGCTGATGAAAAAAAAAAATAAAAAAAAGTTGCTGGTGGGCCTAATGTGTCACAATAGCCCATCACACTGAGATAATGTACAGCTGCAATGATGTCAGCTGCCCTGTTGAGAGCCCTATGATGGGGTCTTGGAATGATGTAACTGAATAAAATAATAAAAAAGGCTCTGTCAGTGTGTGCAGTGTGGCAATAGGCTGGAGACTTCTGAGTACCCTCTTGAGGCATCTGAGCTCCACAGATTATCAGAGCAAGTAGAACACAGGGCACTAATAACTTCTGATGCATTCAGTTACCTGTCTTTCAAAATTTCCCATGGATCAGGCCCTGCAGCTACAAAGCCAGGAAAAGATCTTGCATCATCAGCATGATTGGTAGTACTCTGTCCTGTGTTCAGTAATGATCTCACCTAGAGATTTGGTATTTACAGTATGGGAAATGGGAAAGGGAAAGAGCCTTGAAGGGTGTCACATATCAGATTCCTTTATTCTGACACATAATTACCCAGCAGAGCCAGTTACCTCCTATTTTTCAGACAGCTGGAAGAGGAAGGATGCTCTTACATGTAAGATTTTGGGAAATACAAGCTCAGTAGCTGTCTCTGAGAGAGCTTGTTTAATAAGTTCTTCAACTGGCCACTGTTTTCTCCTTATTTACAAGAGAATGACTATTTCTGGTCTTCTAATTTTCTTGATACTTCTAGGCCCGTGGGTTGACACAAAACACCTACAAAGAATCAGGCGCACAATGTTCTGATGCTGTTTGGACCTGCATGCGCTTCCAAGCACATGGTTCTTGCATGCAGTTCCTTTAAATGAGCAGTGAGCAAGACTTCTGGAGAACTGCTTTAGAAACACCAGCCATTTCCTCTGTCTGCTAAAAGGAAATATTATGGATTAGATATATTATTTATTTAAGAATCCTGGGGAAAACTAAACAATACTGAACTTCTTGAGGAACTGTCCAGGTAGTGACGATTGTAATTGATGATTCCCTCAAATTTAATTCTAGAGTTTTTCTATTTTCTAGAAACTGGTGAAATAGAATAGGGTTATTTGCTGAATTTTTATATCATTTTCTTGAAAAGTTCCTAGGTAGAGAATTAAGGAAATTATCTATTGTTTTGATCACTATGAAATGCTGACACCTGTTTCCCTTGGAAGCTCTCAAGCAGAAACGAAATGTATTGCAACAGGGCAAAGAAAGAGGAGGTTCCCTTTTATTGTTTCCGTGAAATCTTACTCTGCTGGGGCTGTTTTTTATCTCTGCAAGTGACAGAAGTGTTTTTTCTCTCCGTGTGTCTGCTGGTAAGGATGATAGCAATTGTTAGTCACCAGGGACAGGGGAGGAAGGAATGCAGGGGAAATCAGAGGAGGTGATGCTGGTGAGCACTGCAGCACAGGTGTAAAAGGCTGTTCCGTGTGCCCTGCTGGAACTGCAAAGGCTCCAATAGCAGCAACTCCTTCACCCTGTACCTGCTTCTTACAGTGAAAACACACTGAAATGGCTTGTGAGACGTCAGATATAAGGTCTAGCCCCTTCTGAGCAAAATGCCTCTTGATCTCAGCCATATATGCTGCTAAAGATCTTTTTCTTGCATCTAAATGATTGGTATTCACAAAGTGAAGGAGAAGGGAGGGGCCATGGCTGTCAGCACGAAGGAGAAGCAGCAGAACCTTGCCTGCAGCGAGAAGTGTTTAAAAGTCTGAATGCTAACATCTCCTACAGCACTTCCTTGAAACAGCATCATGGATAAAATAAGGGAAGCCTTGCTAGTATTTTATGGACCAGCATGTTAAATAAGTGACTACATTTTCAATCTAACACGTTGTTGTTTCTGATTACCACTTTTTGATGTATTTCTGTCCACTTGTTCTGGAATGCCTAGCATATCAGACTGACATGGACTAATAGCTTGGTAGATTATCAGAGCAAGTAGACAACAATTGAGAAAAATATCTTGGTAGATTATCAGAGCAAGTAGACAACAATTGAGAAAATTATCTATGCCTATTAATATAAGAATTCTATTATGTTAATTGTGTATTCACAGAATAGCCACAGGGTAAATATATTGTACCTTCATGTAACAAAGTGTTCCAGCTGAAAGTTTTACTGAGTATATTTGAATTCATATTTTTCTATATTTGAATTCATATTTTTCAGAACACTAGTGCTTTTTTACTTATGTGCTTCACAGCAAATTTCTAAAATTATATTTGGGCTGCTTACCCCACACAAACACACACAAAATTATGAATGCTGCATTGCCTTTTCAGAAATATGTCTATCATATTTCTGCTGTGACATGTTGTGTCACTCATGGGTGGTTCTGTATAACTGAGACACCCAAATTCCTAGTTTTTCTTGCTGATTTCCCCTGCCACATATAATCATAACAAGTGAAGAAGCAGCTCTTTTTTTGTCTCCTGTTACCAGAATATTTCTGTATCTGACATCTCAATATCTAGACAGTGTAAGGGAAGACTAGACACAGCACTCTTGTCTTAAACTGCTATGATGGAATATCACTGTAGTATCCTCTTCTCTAGATCTGGGGTCTGAAGAAAGATCTTCAAACAGACCTCATTCTCCAGCAATTTTCTGGGTCAAGTAACAACTGTCTCCAGCAGATACTTGTGAGGCATGTTTATAAAATTCTCCAACAAAGACCTCCCAGCCTCTATGGGAGCAGCCTCAGAAAACAGGATTTGCTTTAGATTGAGATGTTAAGGGAGCCTGTTCTAGTTTGCTTAAAGGTAATGTTCAAGCCAGGAGAGTGCAAGCACTTAAGGACCACAGTTACCTGTCTCAAACACGGTTTAGGATGCAGAAGGACTTTGCCATGGGATAAGCACAGAATGGAGTGGCAGGATGGTGCTGGCTCTGGTGATGAGGTCTGCCTAGCATCTCCTGGTAACACATCCAGACAAAAATTCCCACTGTGGCAAACCGTGTAAAGAAGCAACTGTTGTTACACATATCAGTGTCCCAATTTATGGGAGAGATGGTGCCTGTGAATACCAAAGACCACTGAAGCCCCCCTGAGTACCCTCCATGCATACCTGAAACATGGACTGTAAGTTAAGCACCATGACAGGAGCTTGAGAGAAGGTAAAGGTGGCACTGTTTTCCAGGTGTTATCTCAGACCAAGGGGGAGGTTAACAAAGCTGAGGGAGAGGAATGTATCACTGATAATGGCAGAATTTATGGAACACAAGGAAACCCAACTCAGCAACTGTGCTGAAATTTTGAAATTAGCCCAGATTGAGTGAAAGGTAATTCTGGTGGGGGGGAGACTGTGACCACCAACTCACAACCCACCAACTCCAGAAACCCACTGACTCACAACCCACCAACTCAAAAGAAAAGAAACACTGAACATGGGACTGTTTAGCATTAGAAGAGAGGGAAAAAATTAGCCAATATATTAAGAGAACTGTGTAACCAATGAGCATTAATTCCTTTGTTTGCTACAAATCTATAAATAGCAGAAAGTGTTGAATGTCCTCAGGATCCCCACCACAAAGAAGCCGAGGATGAAGAAGGACCAATGAGACACTGCTGGATCCACAGGTTTTGACTATGTTTTGCTTGATGCCTCTCTTTCCCCACCCCACCCCCACCCCTTTCTATTTCTCTTTCTCTCTCCCCATCACATTTTATTGTTAAATAAATTCCATATGATTGACTTCACCATATGGTCTCCTTTGCAGCTTAATTTGGGTAGAGGCATTTCTTACTAGTCAGACCATAACAGAGAACAATTGTGAGAGAACAGAATACACCTGCAGTAAAGTCTTTTTTTTTTCATTCTACATGTGGTTTTTGTTCTCTTTTTCCTGAGGCTACAAAAAGTTGAAAAGAGAGAACCTCTCAACAAGCAATCAAGGATCTTTGAGGGCTACTGGGAGATGCTCCTACTTGCAGTGATTATGCTGTTGATTTTTTGTGCCTAAAATGTTTTGTCATCATTGAAAAAAGAATTAAGGAAAAGAAGTCTGACATAAAAATAGTAGTAAAATGTGAAGGGAGGAGTAACATGTTCTTCTCTTTCCCTAGGATCAGACCACATTAATCCACAAGGGCTTTTTGAATACCACAGCACCTTAGTCAGAATTAGAGTGAGAGGTTTTAACCACGTCTGCTGACATGTGCTTTAATAAGAGAAAGTTTCATGTGCTTTGTCAATTCAAAAGAAATATACTCACTTCATTGCAAAACTGATGAAGTTTGAGTACCATTAGCAGTAACCATCTCTGAAAATCTTCTAAGGATGCTACTGTTACTGCCATTGAAAACTCAGCAGTCCTGCTGTAGCAGCATAAAAATTAAACTGATGAGCTGCAACTCCAGTGTTTAACAATGAGATATCAAGTGAACTATTCAAATTTGCTGCAGTATAGAAATTCATAGCTGTAACTAACAGAAGGCAACAACAGGTATTTGAGAGATGAGTGAGAAGCATGCAGTGTGAATGCTGAGGCAGCTTTAAT